TTAAAGTAGTTAGTGATGAATTCCTGTTAGATGAATTGATTTGCAATATAAAAAAGATACAGATGTACATTGAAAATGACCCAGGGATTGCAAATTTGCCCCAAGACTGTCCAAGGTCAAAGGTGTCATTCAGTGCTTGTGATCTGTTGAACCAGGGCCAAACGAATTGCCAAAAGTGAAAGAAAACAGAACCAACCACAAATATTTTGCCCCTAAGAAGCACGTGATAGATTTCCCACAATATAAAGAATAACTTAGCCATATATATATATATATATATAATATATATATATATGTGATACATATATATATGTAATACATATATACGTATATATGTATATAGAGAGGTTTTATATATACACATGTGTGTGTGTGTATATATATATAGATAGATAAATAGATAGAGATAGATAGATAGATAGATAGATAGATAGATAGATAGATAGATAGATAGATAGATAGATAGATAGATGGATAGATAGATGGGCCTGGATGCTGTCCCTCAGTTCCTCAGCTCAAGCAGAACACTCTACCACTTGAGCCAAAGCACCACTTCCAGTTTTCTGGTGGTTCATTGGAGATAAGATCCTCAGAGACTTTTATGGCCAGGCTGGCTTTGAACCAGGATCCTCAGATCTCAGCCTCCTGAGTAGCTAGGATTAGAGGCATGAGCCACCAGCGCCCAGCACTAGCTATATTGAAGAGTTAATCTCATTGATACACACACACACACACACACACACACGTGCAAACATGTACACACACACAGTTAGACACAAGATTGCTCACTGTCCATTTCCATTATTACAATGGAACCAGAGCCATGAAGGTCCATTGGCCAGGGACATCCACAGACCCAGGTGGACACCTGGGCAGGAGGTACCATGGTCCTGGAGGCCAAGGTCTGGCTGCGACCTCCCAGGTGCTGGGAGGATGAGCCAAGGCCCAGCACAGCCTGGGAGACCACTGGCCCCTTCTCTGAAGGAGACTGCACATCTGGGGACAGAACCCCCTGCTCACCCCAGTGTTTGTAGGGCACCTGAGACTTGCATGGTGCCCCACATCTCTCTCTTGGGTCACATGCATGATGCGCACTGCTGTTGGGGAGGCCGAGGCTGACAGGGGCCTCTCCCAGGAGCCCATCTCCTGGGGGCAGGGACATCTGCTGGGCCTTTGAATGTGGGGAGCTGGGTCTCCACAGACAACTCTGGGGCAAGGAGGGATGGTGACAGGCCTATGTCCGGCTTTGGGGCCTGGCTGGCGTGGGAGAGGAGAGGAAGGGGCTCTCCCCTGGGCTATGGGTCACTAAGGAAGCAGAAATTAAAGTCAATGTCGGGGGCTTTCTTGGTGGGGCCCTTAGGTGGAGAGGGAACACTCCTGGTGGTAAGGGGTGCAGGTGCTTAAATGGACTTGTAGTGTAAATGTATATGAGTAATCTTTGTTTATTTCTTGGTATACGAATAGCACCAGGGCTGGGAAGGTGGCTGGGAAGATATAGTGTGCCTGCCTTGCATGCATGAAGCCCTGGGTTCAATTCCTCAACACCACATAAGCAAAACAAAAGCCAGACTTGGCGCTGTGGCTCAAGTGCTAGAGAGCTAGCTGTCAAACAAACAAACAAAAAGAATAGCTCTAATATTGAAGTTATACTGAGAAATTATTTTTCTAATATTCAACCTTAACTAGATGTCTTCTTCTTCTTCTTCTTCTTTTTTTGGATCTTGTCGTGGGGCCTGAATTCTAGGTCTGGGCGCTGGCCCTCAGCTCTTCAGCTCAAGGCTAGCGCTCTACCACTTGAGCCACAGCACCACTTCCAGCTTTTTTTCCTTTTTGCTTATGTGGTGCTAGGGAATTGAACCCAGGGCCTCAGGCATGCAAGGCAAGCGCTCAACCACTGACCCACCTTCCCAGTCCCTGATATCTTCTTCTTTTTTCTTATCTTCTTCCCCTTCCTCCTCCTCCTCCTGCTTCTTCTCTTACTATTCCTCCTCCTCTTTCTTTTTTCTTCTTCTTGTTTTTTGTCAGTTGTGTCACTTGAACTCTGGGCCTGGGTGCTGTTCCTGAGGTCTTCAGCTCGATGTGAGTGCTCTACCCCTAAGCCACATCTCCTCCTCTGTTTTTCTGTTGGTTCATTGGAGATAAATGTCTTTCCTGCCTGGGCTGGCTTTGAACAGGGATCCTCAGATCTCAATGTCCTGAGTATGTAGGATGACAGGTATGAGCAACAGGTGCCAGCTTATTCTTCTGTAATTTTCTCTGGTCCTACAGTTTGGACACCACCATTTATGCTTTTACATTGAAACCTGAGAATTGATCCCCTGCCTCAATACCAGCTAATTGAAGATTAGATTCTAATGAACTTTCCTGCCCTGGCTGGCTTTGAACTGCAATGCTCAGATCTTAGCCTCCTGAGTAGCTAGGATTACAAGTGTGAGCCACTGGTACCTGCCTTGTAATTCTGTTTTCCTATGTATACAGGATTCTGGTGGCCAACCATAGTCTGTGCAGCTAATTCCTTTGTGTGTGTGTGTGTGTGTGTGTGTGTGTGTGTGTGTGTGTGAATTTATGAGCATGTGCCTGTACTGGGATTTGAACTCAGAGCCTGACACTCTCCCTTTTGCTCAAGGCTGGTGCTCTACCACTTAAGCCACAGCTCTACTTCCAGACTTTTGGTATTTAAGGGGACATAAGAGCCTGAGGAACTTTCCTGCCCAGGGTGTCTTGGAACCCTGGTCCTCCAATCTCAGCCTCCTGAGTAGCTAGGATTACAAGCATGAGCCACAGGCACCTGTGGCTCATCCTAAAGGATTTGTAAATGTTACTAAAGAGACTTTGCAGTGGGTCCTCTGAGCCTCTTTATTGCCACCTCCTGGCTCCCTTGCTGAGGTCCAGATCTATAGCCTAGGGGACCCTCTGTGGAAATGGATTTCTGCGTAATTCTCCTCAGGGTCCCTGGGCTTCAGGATCTCAAGAGGCCGGGAGAATTTGAGAGCAGCATAATGGATTTCTTCCGGGCAGCTCTCGGGGTCTGGACCTTGTGTGGGTGATGCAAGCTCGGGGCAGCTGAGGGCAGCCTTCTCATTCTTCCTAGATTCTGGGGAACCAGCACCTGGAGAAGCACTCCTGGGAGGGCTGCTTGGCTTGGCCTTCTTTTTCTGCATACAAGAAACAATAACCTCCCTTCATTCATTCATTCATTCATTCACCTACCAGAGTTGGGTATTGAGCAGGTGCCTGGTACAACTTAGGCACTGAGGCCACAGCTGGGAGAAAAACCCAGTCCCCCACTGAGTCTGCTTTCCATCCCCACCCAAAGGAACAAAGGGTACAAGGGAACTGGTGTTGTGGCCAACAGAGCTGGCTAGGGTGGGTGTGGCTTGGGGTGTGAGTGGCCACTGTGGGCCTTTCATTGCCTAGGCAGGTGCTCTACCAGTTTGGCCTTGCCCCCAGCCCCTTTTGCTTTCATTGCTGTTCCAGCAAACTCTGGTCTTTATGTTCAGGCAAGCCTTGAACCATCATTCTCTCAATCTTAGCCTGCCAAGGAGCCAGGATGACAGAC